TAATGTTCATACTTCCACGTAGTAACAACCATTAAGTTTTACGAAAATGTGTTATAAAAGTAAAATGTGTCGAGTGCTTGATCTAATTTTTTTTGTAATTACAATTTAATATTGGTGAATTTGTCAGGTCTTAAAGCCAAATAAATTATTCTAAAAATGAGGTAAGTTTTTAAATATAATCTTCTCATAAATACAGTTAAATCTTATAAACTATTCACATTTCATATCGTACATTTATTTCGTTGCTTGCTATAATTAATTAAAGTATTTTAAATTATTGGGGTTTTCCATTTAAAATGTACCAGAGAGCAAAAGAATAGTGAAAAATAACTTTTTTCCGTGCACCTGTATTAAAGGTTCGTGCAAGCAAAATCTAATTTGTTTTATGTTTGATCTTACGAAACATAAAGTTGGCCATCTTTAAATTTTCCATTAGTTGTGACACGAAAAGGGATCACTAGAAATTGCTATTTTTTAAAATTTGATCTAAGAAAAACGGTATTAGAGTTAACTATACTTCTATAGTTTAGTTGGTATTTCTGATATATGAATGATGTCACAGCAAGGACCTGTTTTAAGGGTAAAGTTGACATTTTTGACATAAATATTATATACATACGTCAACACGACACAAGTTAATATAAAAATATAAAGCATAATGTGACATTGAACGAGTAGGATTAACAGCTGAAGTTTTAGATTTTCAACCAATGTTGATCCTTTTTTTTTTGAACGTACGACATTTTAGTTCTGTACATGACTTAAATGGGCCGCAAAATTATGGTAAGTGTGTTAAAATCATGTACGATTCAATTATCGCTTGAGGTGATTGACGTTTTAGAAAAAAAGTTGTAAATCACAAATCCCCATTGATTGCGATCGATGCCTCATCGGAATCTATAATTAGGGTTCGGAAATCGAATAAAAAGTTGGCTTTAGTGACTACATACATGTGTATTTACGTTGTGTAGGAAGAATTGTATAAACTTTTTTGATTTGCACTAGGGAATACATCCGGCTACAATATTTAAAGTGTACGTTACGATGTTATTGTCGCTATTTTATCACCTCTTAATTTGTGTAACATATGACGCATTGTGTTTATTATAAATCAAACTTATTTTATATATTTAGACGTATGTCATATGTTATTTTAGATAAAAAGCGCCAAATTCAAATATACGCATGCGTAGCATATCCACTCCTAAATGAGTATTTCTATTGGATCTACTGCGTTTCTAAGCTATTTACAGAAGTAGGGGTGATTTTAAAAATACATGTAATTATTTGGTTGAGCGTGGGATATAAGATAGAAAATAGGCGTACTATGCGTGTTTTGGTCCAAAGTAAACAAGTCCAAACAATTTAGAGCTAGAATAAAGTGATCCAGATGATAAAATCCAAAAAATAGCAGTCCAAAATAGACTTTTCCAAAATATTTTAACCTGAAGCGCTTTCATCTACTGTACATCGAATCAAGTGCAGTTGCTTCGCTGAAATTGTGCCTCATTATGACAGTTCTCTAACATGGGTCCAAAGTATTGACGAAAGAATGTTACACAACATTTTTGAAATTAAAACGAGAGTGAACATGTGCCTTGAACAAAATGGTGAACATTTTCAACATTTACGCAGATGTTGAACCACAACTTATTTGTTTAATGAATTAGTTTTATTTTTTAATAAGATCTGAAGCATTTACGCAACGAGTTATACAGATGCGTGTGGTATTTGTTGAGTTTATTAAAGACTAAAAGTGAGAGGCGGCACGTTTCCATGACCTACTTCGACTCTATAATCATTTATAGAAACCCTGTACATAAATACAAATAAACAAGATGAGGGATTAGGTCTTGAAGTAAAGAACGCTAGCCCGAATACCGACCGCCATATTTTTAAAAATTGCAGAATTTAATGACTTAATCCCAGTATCGATTTAAGAAGTGAAGTTTTGAAAATATTATATAACACAATGTGTCAATATTAACTTTAAATAACATTTATCATTTTTGTCTTTGACCATGTATTTTTCCTGCGGCAATTTTGGAACACCTATATATGTATATGTTTTTAAAAGTTGAGATTTTTTTTTCATTTTTACAGTTTATATTAATTCAGTATAGCATGAAACATCAATTACTCGTTTTTTGATTTGTGTATCTAAACATTACATTCTAACGTCTAAAGACATTTCGTACAAAGCTTAGTAAAGAATGATACAAAAGTAGTAAAAATAACGAAATACTTTATTATTGTTGTTGGAGTAAAATAGTGGTGGACACTTGTGCTTTATATTCGTGTATTTTGAACAATTTGTACCGAGAGAACAATGAAAAACACGAACAAAGAAAGACAAAGATTTGTGTTTGGTAGAATTTTTGTCTTGTCAGATTGCAATAAAGTTTTTGAAAATGCAACTATCAGAGACAAACTTTTAAAAATCCACTGCTGTCTTGGATCGTGTTTTTTATTGCTCTCTCGGTATTTGATATAAAAATACATTAGTCAATACACAGTTATGATAGGATCAAACATTTTGGGCAAGTTTATTTTGGTTTTGAAACTAAGCCTAAACAGTTGAGTTTATTGTCAAAACATCTTTTTTAGATTTTAGAGATTATGTTAATGTTACATTTGTTTCGGTCTTTAAAGTGCAAGACCATCATCAGGTATACAAGATTTCTAAAATTTTTCAAAATACGAAGATTTTGGAAATTTTATTTGAATCTGCCAGAACAAATTATTTATTGGTGAATGCAAATGCTACATAAGTATGTTTCGGCGTTTAAATTGTAAAAGCATCATCAGGCTTACAGGGCTACAAGTTGATAACGGTAAAATTGGAAAACCTATAAAAAGCAGAAACAAGAATGACATTCATTATTTCGACATAACCTCGTGACACGCACCTATAAATTGTAAGGAAAATTGTCATTTTACTGTCATAAACCAAAAATCGTTTTTATTTTTTTACCTTTCCTTAGCCCTGTATATTAGATTATGGTTAAAAAACACCGAAGCATATGAAGCATTTGCACGGTTTGTTAAATAAGAATCGAATAAATTTTCCAAAATATTCATATTTTCAAGAGTTTTAGAAAAAAATCTTTGTCAGTAAGGGAGAGAAAAAGCATAATTTTGGTTTCCAAAAATACAGTTTTTTGGCGACAGAAGTTGAGTATTGGCAATCTCTATCAATCTCTTGGCCAGAGCGAAAACAGACTTCGACAATAAATTTATCTTCTTCTAGAGTGCACATTTTTCGTATTCGTTGTGATTTAAAGGTATAAACGCTAAAATTTAGTTCAAAGTTTAACAGCTAATTGACAGGTTGATTTTCATAGTCCACTAAATGTAAATAATTTATTAACACAATGTAGTCTAATTTTTATTTTGATTACAAAGAATTGAATGCAGGGTGTTGTTGAAAGGTATAAAAAAAATTGTTAAATCCTGCAAAATTTAGTGAAACATAAGTTGAGAAAATACCTTTTTTTATTACTTTACTTTTATTAAGATGATTTTGAGTTGATGACATGTGCTTTTCATTCTTTTGTTTTATAGCTTGCAAAAACACCCTGTTTATCAGATAACGCTAAAGTGAAAACTGACGTTATTTTTTTGAGAATCAGTCTGTATTTACAAAGTTATTACGACAGTAAAGAATGTTATGTGTGTAATGATTAATTTTAGTTGTATGAACCCATCGTAAGTTTTATTAGTGTAAACAAAGAGAAGCTGATAAATCATTTACCACTGGAGTGTTGAGACATTTTTAACATTAATATAATTTACATATTATATTTTTGTGGATTGCTTTAGAAAACTAAAACCACATTAAAGATTTTTGTTGAGCGAAAATTAAAAAAGTCTAAGTGATAAAATCAGCTATATTATTGATTGTCCACATGAAGTTATAGTTAGTTATTTGTGTACCCGGAAGCCGAAAGTTTGGAGAGACGAAGAAATCAATAGTTGTTTCGATATTGTTAGAAACTAATATAAAATGATGGAAGAACGATAAAATTTGAAGTTTTTCGTTGGCAATCACTCCAAGTTTTCGATTCAAGTGATATTATTAGGAAAAAGAATTTTCATGTGTTTGAATCGAGATATTACGAATCCATGTAATTTATTTGGGAGTGTCGGCAAATATTTAATCTTCTAAAAGAAATTGAACTTAAATATACATTTTGCTGCACCTGTTTGTAACTCTCAATACTCGCTGATACGACGCCATTGGCAAATAGGAAAGAAAGTAACGATCACAAATAATGGAAGATAAATATTTGCAACTATTAAAAGTAAGTTACGTATAAGTAAAATGCAAAAGTTGGGTTCTCACACCTGACTATTTTAGGAAAGACCTTCCTTGGAAGGTTAACGAACGTTCCACTTTTTTACATCTTTTTATCATCTTTTAATCAGCGTTAAACATAAAATAATAAGGAAGTTCATAAATACACATAAGCGCATAATTCTTCCAACTTAACGCATAATAATAACAAACAAGGTAGGTAAGCCTATGATTGGTTTATCATATTACTGAGGGAAAGCCGTTGCGGTAGCGTATTAGACGTAGAAGATTGTGGTCAACTAGTGATAAGCTTTACATCAAACCGTCAGCTGCGATCGAAACTCCACAATTCTGATAAATTCCTTATTATATTCACGGTCAGTGCTTTGGTTTTCCTCGAGTGCGCAAACATAGGACGTACACGCTTTGGATGAGTCACTACTGTTATCACTGCCTTTAGTGTGGTTAGTGATTCACCGCTGCATTTCTAGACGAACCGTGGTATCAGTCGCACCCTGCGGACCACTTTAATTACGGTGAATGTAAACAATAGAATGAGAGTATTACTCCAAAGCAAATTTTACGTTATTGATAAGGTATCGTTTTTGTTGACATTATCGTACTTCCTGAAAATTTTGCTGTTTACACAGATGCTTTCCAGTTCTTTTTCATTGTAATTTCAGCTTGATGTTTTTTCTTTCAGCAGCCCACATGGCGACTGTGGGGCGAGGAAAAAGCGGATGGCGCTCTCTACACTGTCTACCTCAAAAAAGTTCGTTACCATCGACCAACAAGAAGTTTATCATCGTCGCACTCGGTGAGTAAATTATCCTGAATGTTTAATTGTGAGCGGGGTTGTTTTGGGTCAAAACGACGAAGTCGTGGGCGTTTGTGATGAAACGAAACCTGGAAATAGATTTCGCGCTGGAGAATTCCACGGTAGTGCATTTTTTTAAACGTTGGAATGTGTATTGTAGGTCAAGAAGTCTGTGTCAGTGAATCAGTATTTGACCACAAAGTCTGAAATCACATGTGCTGATAGACAGTTTTCAGATTATCTACTACGAAAACCAGTTTTTCCCGGCCGGTAGTAGACGTTTTCGGGACAAAAATAGAACATTTTCTTCCTAGGGGGAGAAATGTAGAACCTTGACAATATTGTTACTTGACAATTGTAACAATTAATCGTCAAGGTGTGAACGAACATTTCTTATGGTTAATCATGAGATATTCGATGTCATTTGGGGTTAAGCAAAATATCTCAGTTTTTTCCCGTTTCAAAACCTTTGATTTTTTTGCTCGATAGCCATCTGAATCGTCTTTCAAAAATGCAAGTAATTTTGGATACTTGCTTATGTCTACGTTGTCGTGCACTCAAATACAAGCTTTTGCCATCTAGTATTGAGCTCAGATCGTAGAGGATTTGAACAATTTCACTTTCTTACGAAAGTATGCCTTCTCCTCACTGAACCAGTCTCCAAATCTGTTAATGTATGCTTGATCGTATAGATTCTGCGGCTTCGAGGGTAACTACTTCAAAATTACAAAAGAAACTTTTTTTGTGTTTTCCGTTGCCTTGGCTTGTGATACAAAGACTACTAAATAATATAAATAAAGAACTAAACCCCCCACAAAAAACATAATCCTTAAAAAGTCTGAAATTGGTTAGGAGAACTGATTTCATATCATTGCGTTGCAACTTAATAAAATAAAATAAAATAAACTCTCTCAGTTGAGATGCCTCTAGCTTCAGCTAACTGCCGCACCTTCGTTCATCTATTGGTCAAAATCCTCTTATGAACTTTGAATGTGATTCGTCTTCAGCGGATGTTCTCCCGAACTTGAACTCATATTAACTTAAGGGCAAGTGGCTTCATATAAGAAACATATGAATCGCGCAATATAGAACAAAAATCTCATGGATTTCCGTCGCAGTTTTCCCTTACAAAGAGAAGAACTGAATCACAATTTAATCGGGTTTCAAAAAAAAAAAAAGAAACTGTATTGAAATCGGTTCATCCGTTTGGGAGTTACGGTGGAACAGAAAGATATACAGACATTAGCTGAGGGTCATGAAATTATTGAAGTGATCATCGTCAAGCATAGTTAAGAACGATTCCGAGTAAACCAGTTCTCAACTAAAAAACATCGCATCGAAATCGGTTCATCCGTTTGGGAGCTATGATGCCATAGACAAATCCACAGACAGAAAAAGTCTTCAAAGTGAAAAGTAGTTTAAGTGATTATTTCAAACATAGCTGAGAACCATCCCAATGATATCAGCTTTGAGAAAATCGAGTTTTCATAGATCAATGGAAAACAATGAGAACAAGACGTTTATGTCACTATCATTTGTCCAGTTTTTTCTTTTATAAAATTGCACCTCTGGAAAAATCATGCGTTTATCTCCTTTAATGTATCCACAACCAACTGTGATCACGAATTAATTGCTCAGCCGATCTTTTAACTTATTATTTTCTCTGTCATATAAAATGTTTTTTTTGAAAGATTTAGATTCTGTGGCGGCATCAAAGGTGTTGCGGTTATAACTTCTCTATATACTCGTTTTTTAAATACTCGCTTCTCTTGTCATTAAATAAACTCGTGAATAAAGAGGGGTTTATAACCTTGTTACATAATATACTAAGACCAAAAGTGGTCTTCATTTTTTCCGAAATATAAAAGTACAGTTTTGGGTCTAGTGCCCATAAGAAAAAAATTTCACGCATTATTCGTGACCATCATTTAATCAAATTCATATTGGTCCCATGAAATCGTATTAAAGAAAAAAAATATATGACCTGTATACATTAAAAAATAATAATACTTCATTTAATGGCTGAAACGAAACACTGGCTTATTAAATTTTATTGCACCAAGTGTTTTACGTGGAATATTTTCGAAATGAAAAAAAAGAGTGGTTCTCGAAGTTCTTTGTTTCCATATTTGAAAATTTCATCTTCTACATGGTTTTGTCTTTTTTTCTGATTTTTTTTCGGATTTACTATTGTAAATATTGTTTATATTTTATAAAGTTAGATACTTTTGAACCTGTGGTTTACGAATCCGTGTTGAGATTTAACATAATACATCCAGATTAAAAAAAAATCAGAATTGATTAACAACATTTTACGATTTAACTTTAAAATTGCAAAACCGAATGTTCTGAAATTTTGCGAACGTTTTAAGGTGAAATAGTAAATAGTTCATCAAAATTTATCCGTTTTAACCCCATTCAAAAATGATAACGTCATCTTGCAATTTTGTCGAATAAATGTTATTGAGATTTTATAAAATAACATACTTCTGCATGTGTAATTTATGAATCCATGTTGAGGAATTATTTTAGACAAGTAGATTTTTGGAAAAAAAGAACAATTGTATAACATCATTTTACAACATGTTCCGATTATCGTAAGCATGGTGAACCCATAATCAAAATTTATTCGTTTACCGTCTCTTAAAAAAATTAATGACGTCATCTCATATTATGACTCTTTGCTTGTGGTTTATCAATGGATTCATAGTTTTTAATATTACTTATACAGGGTGACATAAAACAGTTAATTCGGAAATTATTTTTTTTTATCAAATTAAGAACGGCTCACTATTTCGGCTATTTTCCCGAAAATGTGAGTATACAGTATTGTATAATTAGTATTACACTGCACCTATTCAGAATGCAAAATTTTGTTACGGAAAAACTCACTTGAAACTCATGCATAGCATGCTCTTTTACCTATATTTCAACGGTCCACATATTTTATTTTAACTTACAGGGTTTATCATAAAAACAAAATCAAAATTCAATATTATAATGTTTCGAAGAAACCGTATTAGTACGACTGTACTTTATAGGCGCCGGAAATAACCTTCGACCGATTTTTCACGTCAGATTTGCCGTGCTTGCAAAACTTTGATCGTAAAACGTCCAAATTTAAAAGCGATATCTTCGGTAAACGACACTTTGACAGTCACTGAATACAGGTGGTGCCATCTAATGAAATTGTTTAAAGTCGACATTGTGGTTCCTGAGATGGATTCTTAATGTAAAATTGGGTTTGTGCAGTGTGTATACTAAAGACACTATTTTTGTGTACTAATAAAGTTTTATGGCACTATTAGTGTCAATGGAGCCAACAATAATCAAACAGTCTTGTTCGATCCTTCACAGACGCATGCCACTTTGAAATCTGCGTAAATTTCAGCGTCGTATTCGGAAAGTAATTGCTTTTCATTCGACTAAATGCTGCGATAAACTAATTTCATAATGTTAAAACCGAATTACATATCTACACGCAAACTCCAAGAACAAATAATATTCTGTCACGTAAAAGATCCGGTCCTGTCCAGCGGACTAGGACGTAAGCTCTTTAACTTTTGGGTTGTAAAATTTTATTAGTATACAAAAATAGGGTGCTTACAGTATATACCATTAATGCATTGTGTTCGTTTTATCAGTACGCAATGCAATTTTTTATTGTAAGTATTGTTTGATAAAAATATCGATTTTAATTTTATAGTCGTAAATCCCAGGAAATCATGTCTGTCAAAAGATAAACAAATTTATGGTGGTTTTCGTAACCTTTTTCCCCAAAAACCCATTTGTGTACTTCATTTCACCCCTAGAAAACTTTTTTTTTGTATTTTCGTTAGTTTCCCACTCCTTTGCCTTGGTTGTACGATTTCTCTTGTTTTTTTTGCTATTTTCTTTATTTTCTTGATATTTTTTTATTTGTTCATTTTTTTTGTTCCACATTATTTTGGTCATTTATGTAATGAAGGATTAAAATGTAACTCCCTCGGAATCATTTTTTTAAGATCGAATCTGACAGTTTTATGGGTACTTATGACTAACTATTTCGATTAACTTTTATCATGAAAATGATATCATCATTGTCTGTATTTTCGTCGTTGACTGTTTTGCCACTGTAGTTTGCGGCTTCAAACAGATCGCAATCTTCAGTAGAACAACGATCATAATTAAGTAGTGGTTCTAAGTATTTACGGAAAACCGTGGCAAGTTTAAAATCTTAACTATTGATCCATCGTCATGTCTGTGGTATGTATATGGTATATGACTTACATAAAAACATTCCTTTTGATCTGATTTAGTCGGCATACATACGTGTATCAATTATTTTTGTTTACTCTTCCCTGCTGGCATTTCCATTGGAAATTAACATCAACAACGATTCAAATGGAAAAGTTTTCATATACTATACGCCCGATTTGGTTGTGATTGGATAAAGCGTTATTGACTTACTCGGAGAAACGATAACCACATACATGTAGCCAGGCATATCATCGAAAAACTTATACACGCACCGAACCTGAGGAAATTTTTAAACCTGAAAAACGAAAGCTGTTGAACTTTTCAGCACCTTCAGATGCTGTTTTTTTAGCATGTTAGTGTACTGCGGTTATTAAAGCGCATGTTGTTTCGTAAATTAGTCAAAACAGCTCGGATCATTGCACTCGGACGGTTGCTGTATAAACCAGGAGGTAAACTAATCAATACGGCTGCCAGCATTATACTTTATGAATGAGTGTCGAGCTATAGGTGCGACTGATTTAATTAATTATTAGCGAAGCTCCACGTCCCTTCTAATTACTTCCGCGTCGAGATTAATCGACAAAACTATGCGAATTCATACGCATCATTTGGCGAAAATCGAATTTCGCTTGACATTTACGTTAAGGGAATTATCGAGTTAGCTTGAGAAAAAAAGATTCTCGATTCCTCCCACACGCCGATGATCCTTCGGGGAAAATGTCAGTCCTGCCTGAATAATGAACGCTGGAAAGTTCACGCTCGACGTGTTTTTATAAGACGTTTGTTGTCATATGGCATCGCTGATTGAATTTGTATTTCAGGATTCAGATGACGAGATCTCTCACTTGGAATGGGAGACGGTTCGTGTTCGATTTGTGAAAGCCGGCACTTTGAAAAAGTTGGTTGAAGCTCTGTCCACGGACGATGGCGAGCTTGAAACCACTTACATTAACGTGTTTTTGGCCACGTATAGGAGCTTTTCAACACCCAGGGAAGTCCTCAAGTTGCTGCTGCAACGCTACGAGGAACTCACCGATGTGCCTCCTAATGGGAAGATAGATCAACATGAACAACACCGGAAGTAAGTTCTTTTGTTTTAGATTGTATGGAGACTTTCATGGCGATTTCTTAGTCACGTTTTATTAAGTGCATCAAGATTATTGTTTTGAATGCTTACGAAGGCGGCATTTATGTAGGGATGTCAAATAAGAAACTTCCATTTGTAAAATCTTATCGTCTTCATAGAAATCTTGTCGTTTAAAGATGATGCTTGTCGATAAAGCTGTTTTCATGTCAGATGACAATTCTGATTTTTTTATCGTGTTTACTAAATCGTAAATTCTTATGGAAGAGTCGCTGTTATTGTGTTTTAATCAAAATTATTAGAGCTTTTATTGATATACACATGTTATCAAATTTTCGTAAAACTCGACTATACAGCGTGTTATTGAAAGGTACGTACAAAATAAAATCGGCAATTGGTCTCGAAGTATGGGTGCTAAAATAAAAAAAAGTTCAGATAAAAATTATTAAAATTTATGTCCAAATTCGTTGTACGCTTCTGATAAAAAGGTCATCTTTCGTTTCTATAGCAACAAAAGGGTCTCTTATTTTTTATTATTGTTACAGTTGCTAGGTTTTACTAAAATAAATTAATTTTACATATTTATCCTTCAGTAGCGTCTAAAAAGGTTGGATAAGGGTTAATTTTCCCCTTAAAATTTTGATAACACAAAATAAGTTTTTCAGAATTCTTAGACTGCACGAAGAACTGTCAATTTTGTTGTACATACCTTTCAATAACACCCGGTATATACAAACCAAATTTTTAATTGTCTAGTAAGTTAAGAACTAATTGTATTTTTTGTGTACCGTTAATTTTTATGGTTCAAGTAAAATGAGTCTATGAAGATGGATTTAAAGTTGGAGAAAACAAACATAAGTTCGAGCATATGCATCAATTAATATTAATTTTTACGGCCATTTGCTACATTGTTGACAACACTCGTGAATCCTTAATTAACTAGAGTGTTGAACAACAATATAACATACAGAATATATCGGGTGTTTATTTAAAAAAATCATAAGTTGGCGTTGGTTTTTTGATAGAGGAAAACGTATACAAAAACCCATGTGATTAATGATTCACACTGCTCTATATAAATGACAATTCCGCGTTGTCAGCTGTCATCGATTAAATTTGAGGTTAATTGTAGACATGCTTCACAATGTTTACAAAAAATCAAAGCCAATTTGATGACTTTTTTAATTGAACACCCGTTACATACGTCTGTCTTTTTTCACTATACGTACTGGAAACCGTGAGCGTTGCGAAGTTGGTGAATCAAAAAAAGTTTTATTATTTTATGCGTATCAACAGTCCATCGTTAAGAAACATAATTTATTCAAATGAGTAATTTACAAGATTCTTGTTCTATATTTATGTTAATACATAATGCGGTTTACATTTACACCTGTTTTTCTTATAAATAAGCTAGTCTCAGTTGGTTTTTAAATTTTAAATATTACAGTTCGTAAATGCACGGTGTTAATAAAATGATTTACATCTAGTGGGTTATGAAATTATTCTATTAATGTGGCGCTTCATTCGACGTTTGCTAAATTAATTAATCTGTCAGTTAGTTGTCAAACTTTGAATTAAATTTTCACGTTTATTTCTTTAAATCACAAAGTATATGGAAAAATATGGACTCTAGAAGAAGATAAATTTTTATTTTGGTTCTTGGTTTTTATTTCCCGAGCATAAGCCACGATAATTTTGTAATGGGGTCCATCGGAGTTTCATGCCCCTTAGAGTATGGAAAATAGGTCTCCCGTTTCCGGCTCTCTGTCAACTGAATATAACATGTGCCAATTTTTATTAGACATATATTCTCCAAAATTACCGGACCAATTGTTGTCAAATGTTAGGAATATTCGGTAGATCGTAAAACGTTAACCAAAGTTTGTCTAACCATTTCTACCAAAAATTTTATGACGTCTGCTCAAAATTTTTCGTAGTAAGTGGGATTTAAATTTTATAAAATGACATAATCCTGTACTTGTGGTTTATGAATCCGCCTTGAGGTTTTCCCATTCCCATCAGCAATTTGATGACGTTAACTTACATTAAATTAAATTTAATTCTGCGTTTAATTGGCTTCTTTTTTTTGCTAATTTATACTCCATGTGTCAATAGTGAATGGTTTTTTAATAAAATAACGATCACTAGTTAAATTAATAATTTTTAAAGCTTGGTTTTGCGAAATTTTTCAGGGTGGCCGGTTTTTTTGCCGGTCAGTGTATATCCACATATTCATTGCTTCTCAGCGTCTCTAGGGGATCTCCCCACGCAAAAAAAAATCGCATCTGTAATTATCGATCCTAGGTAGATTCGCATGCGAACGTCGGAGTTTCGTTACCTATGGGACGAATGACAACTTTCATGTTTTCACGACGTTTCATAACCTCTAGAGTCTAGAAAAATAGGTCACCCGTTTCCGTCTGGCTGTCATCTGTCTAGTCTGTGCCGATATTTATTATATATTTATGCTCCTTTATTTGTGGTTTAATACATCATATTTTATGCTATTGTTTATGTAGAATATCTCAAAAAATTGGTTAATGAAGTAATTTATTTTACCAATTAAATCAAAAAGGGTTTATATAATTTTTCCGAAATTGTGGACACCACAGTACCTATCAAAATTGATATATTTGTCCCCACTACAAAGTTGATAACGTCACACCATTTTATTAAAGAAATTTTTGCTTGAAATTAGGCACGCTGTTGTACCAGCAGTTTAGGAATCTGTCTTTATTTTAATTTTAACTTAAAGGATTATGGCAAGAGATAAAATTTGGAGTCAAATTTAATAATTTGTTTAAAAACTGAAGGACGGTCAGATAAAATCGCAGTGAAAAAGTCAATCGATTTACACAATTGATCTACTAACCTGAATTTAAAATAGCGTCAAAATTTGATGGGATGGGCACAGGGACGGCTGGAACCATGTGGAGATCGGGGATTTTTACGTGGTTTTAAATACTGCTTTTTATGGATATAATTATTATTGTGACATTTGTCAAACATGGCTACTTCGCCCTTTAATGACAGTTGTCACACAATGTCAAATTATACGTTGATGGCCAAAATGGGGAAATACTAAAATTAATTCATCGATTACAAAACACCAACAAAAGTTAATGTAATGGATGCTTTTTTCGCAAAGAAAATATTTAGTACTACGTGTGTTTTATTAACATGCTTTTATTAAAAAAAAATTGCGGCTAGAGGTTTTTTCAAAGAAAAAGATTGTATAAACAGTTTTAATATCAGATGTGTTATTTGGAAACTGCTTATGTAATAATTTCTTAAAAATTTTAGCAAGTAGCCCACTATTGTTTACATTGACCCATTAAAATAAGTTAGGTATTTGTCCCCACAAACAAATTAATTTATGTCATGAGTCTGATATTTTAGCTTCTCAATTATCTACAAATATTTCAAGTTCGCGTATTTACCTTTCGATTACATACTATACTTAAAGTATTCAAAGTCAGTACATTGTTTTTTTTTCAAAATTCTTACTTTAGGAATTTTCTAAAATTCCATTGATTGCGTTAATTGAACGACAAATAAAAAATCCATTCTACTTTTTTATGTTTTAAATTTAAGTAACCTATTTTAAGTTGTTTACATTGGAGCATTGGTGATTTATTAGAATTTATAGTTCAGATAAAATCAGGTAATACGGTTAGTTTATGAGCTACTTTTAATTTTTGGATTATAAATTCCCGCCAGTTGATTACAAGAATTAAGTTAATAGTTAATTTTTGTTCTGTCCTAAAATTTTTCTGAATTGACTCCAGCTTTTTATATTTGTTTGTACACATGTTCCAATTTTTGTAGAAAAAACAGGATACATTTTTCCACATATTAATTAAATCAGCAAATTGAAACAAAACGTACGGATTGTAACATGATCTCGTTGCAACTTTTAATCACATCATTAAAACTGAGTTTTGCGGAAAATAATAACTTTTTAGAACATCGTCAGCTCGACAGTTTTCCCTAAATACCGCGAATTTTAGCAAATAAAATCAAATAAACCTTACAATAACTGTACTGATTTTTTCGAAGGACTCTCATCTCAGCTCTACACGTATGGTTGGATAGTTACCCAGAGGATTTCAAGGATCCGCCGAATCACACAGCCCTCAATCATTTGCTTCACTTCTGCGAGGAGTTTTTGCCTGCTACCGAGTTACATGCCAAAGTGCAACACAGGTTGGAGAGATACAGCAGAGAAGCTCAAGCGGACCCGTTGCTGACGCCGCCACCGGCTTTTGCCCTACGGGCGGCGGCGGTCGGATGGAAGGTGTACAAACTTCCGGATGTTCCGGTGCGGCATTTTGCTGAGCAGCTCACGAGAATGGATGTGGTGAGTCACTGTTTTGATTTACGAACGACCTCGCCGATGTAAATAAGTTTTCAAAATTTGCAAGTTTTTTGCTGTTTTGGAATATTGAGGTGTGGAAAGACTAATATAGGGCGTTTGCGGAAAGAAAGGTGGCTGGGAGGAGCAGTGTGAGCGAGGCGTGGTGAAATATAATGGAATATACAAGCAGTGTTTTTTAAAATTGATTTCATCAGCTTTCAATTTGTTATAATCAAATTAACCATAATAATAAGAATAATAATCCTAATTTTGTGTTATTAAGTACACACAATTATTTATTAAAAAAAATTAAACTTGTTGTTTCAGTTGAAATCAAATTACTGTAAAACGACTACGTGCGTAGAAAATAAATGATGCTGCTATAAAATTCATGGTGGCGCTTCTGGTTTCTCTGAAAATTAACACAGCCTTTCCTTTTTTTCACGGTTGTTTGAAGTGTTAATACAGGTAGTAATTTGAAATAATTCGATCCTCTAATCACGAGCAATATATTCATAAATCAGATCAGTCCACATGACTGGATGTTGAAAGGTTTCCGATAGCTGTGACACCTAAAAATTGTGCTAAGTTAATTCGACCACCGAATGACGGAATTCTAAAGTTTTGCTTTTATTAATTGTGCGGAATAGAATTGCGCAAATTCAAAGGAACTGTAATTAATGATAAAGTAGCCATTTGACTTATCGCTTGTTATGACGTTTGCCGCGATAGTTTTTTTTAAGCATAAATTACGACGTAACAGTTCAATGACGTTATACAATTTTTAACATCGAATTAAAATTAACTGCTATTTGAACATTAATTTTAATAGTAACTACGCATATTTCTGACAATCCGAAAGTCGGTTCGTACGATTGTGTATAATTAAGAAAATATATGTGGCTATAATTGTAACGTAAACTAGAATCATGGGCGTGTAGTTACTAATAAATAATAAAACTATTGTTTGTCATGAAAAATGGGCGTGTTATTTGATGCTTTCTCATTAGTAAGTGTAAAAACATGTTTTTAATTAACGTTTAGTAGTTATTTTTATTTGTAGTTACATCTGTTTGCTTGATTTCCTTGTCACAAATATTGAACATTTATGAGATGAGATGATATGATAATTCGAATTATCAAAAATAAGGTTATAAAGTAGACGTCGTTATTTTAATGTGGCGAATGGTTAATTTTATTTTATCGGCGTTTAATGGCGTATACAATGCGAATATGTCGGTCCACCATTTCCATCCATCTGTCTGTTTGTTGGTTTGTTTATTAAATATTATTTGTTGGTGTCGCTAAATCAAAGCACTCAGAAAAACATGATCCTTGTCTGGGAACAATTAATAGATATTATTACATTAAGAAAATACTATTTTTTAGTGAAAATATTTGTTTGTTATTATTAATTTACAGTTTATACACATATTAATCCCACACCAAAGAGGTCTTGCATAAATTCACGTATTGTTAAAGATAATGAAGACTAAAATTTAGATACACATTTATATTCCATTCAAATACAATAAGCTACCGGGTTGAAATTTTAGTAGAACCTGTACTGTGTAACGTTAAACCAGCTAAACATTGTGAACAAAAAAATCGTTGTCTGTCTCCTTTGAGTTAATTTTCACTCATTCGTAGAAGTTGAAAGGCTTTTAAATTAGTTCGCAAATTTTCGGCAATCATCTGAACGACCGCGATTACGTCCCAAAGATTTCTGAAGAACTTAGCCACTTGATTATCTGTCTGTCATAGCGATACCGAGGAGCAAACCTGTTACGAATCTAAAGAAATGGAAAAGTTAATAAAGCCAATGGACGTGACGTTGTCGTGGTTTCACCTATCAGATCGACGTGTTTAAAAAAAAAATTAAATTGGGAACATTAGGATCCGTAGAAGCGTCATTATGTGCAGTAAAATTTAACGCGCTGCTCGATCTTCTTCGATCCCCACACTTACCACGTGCATTCCGTCTTTACAAAGGAAGCATCGAAATCCGGTATTGTGGGTAAACATTCACATGAACAACCATATCAGTGAGAAAAAACTCTACATTTGGGTCCGGATTCGTCACTTTGCTTGCGCCACGCGATCGCGTGATTATTTCCCTTACAGTTAAAATCTCCTGAATTTCGACGGGTGCGCAGTGAATATTATACTTATAAGGAAGGAAACAAGCAAGCTTTAATTATGCCAAACTCATATCAAGAATAACAAAGAATTTGCATGATGTGAAAATATTAATTCGAGTTATTGATTAAATTCAAATGAGTTCATCAAGATTATATCGTGGACCGAATCCCGATGTCGCTTTAAAAAAGCGCACACGAAATAAACAAAACGGGCACATATTTAGTTTCAGCGTACTTCGAGACTAAATGTTCAAATTCAAGCTGTAGGAAATTATTAAAAACTCTCCTGGTTTCGAGCCTATTGTAATATAAATTCAACAGACGAGAACTCTCGACTTCTTTCTGGCAAAATGGATCGATGTTAAATGCCACTAATGAACTATTTAAAAACCTCGAGTGAGAAGTTATGAAGTGTGAAAATAATAATTTGGAGACATTCTATCCAGAACTTTAAATATCATTACTAAAGTGAGTTAAGGTTAAATAAGTGTATTCAAGTATAAAAAGTATTAGAATCACGAACAGAATTCGCCACAAGTGTCACATTACAGACTATAAAATCGCTAATTAACTAGTGTAGTGACCTTTTAGAATTTCTCCTACACAAAACACTAGAACTAGCAACCCAAGGGTGATTTTTTTTTCACCATTACCCCAAACGTTTTCTCGACCTTTCATGAACCCTACGGAACGAATAAATAGGTCTCCCGTTTCCGTCTGTCTGTTTGTCCGTTTGTGTGCCGTCACGGATTTTTATTAGACAGATAATCTCCGAAAGTACTGGACCGATTGTTGTCAAATTTTGTATTTATATTAGGAATATCATGTATAAAACGCTAACCAAAATTTCTCTAATCATGCCCACCACTAATGCGATGATGTCACTTCAAAATTGTACATATTAAATGGGTTTTAAATTGTATAAAATAACATTGTCCTAAACATGATGTAGTTTATGACTCCGAATAGAGCTTTTACCCGAAGCGTCCAGATTTTTGGAAAAAAAAATTAAAATTATAACATTTTGCAATTTAATTTTGAATCTGCTAAACCGAATGCTTTGAAATCTTGCAGATATTTTAATGTTATGGAAAGCATAATAAATTTTTAGTCAAAATATATTTGCTTATCCTTTCCAAAAAATTTATGACGTTAGCTCAAAAATTTGCCTACCTAAAGTGTACATAATATGATGAGTCTGTACTTGTGATTTATCATTCCATTAATATTTTTTGGATTTGCGTATACAGGGTGACTCCAAAAAAAATTATCATTGTATTTCAGGAGCTAGGGAAGTTCTGTCGAAAGAACTTTGGATCAATTTTTTTTATTTTTCAAATCGGGACACCACACTGTTTTACACGAGAGCAATGAATGCACCTTGGCGTTTTTCAAAATTTTCCGAATGAACTCGTTGTATAATTAATTACATTGCCAAATGACGATCGAAGCCATGAGATTTTGCGATGTTTAATACGTATAAATTAATAAATGCAGAAAATACCAGAAAAAAAATGGTCGAAAGTAATTTCTTACTTCCCTTGCCCTTGAAGTACAGTCCAACAAATCCCGCTTCTGCGGTGCAAAGTTTCAAAAAGTTGTAGTTAACTGTCAAGAAATTTTTACCAAATTTCCTGTTGCTAGTTGTGGCGCCACATATTCAGTTGTATTTTTGTTTTAAATTTCCTTTTTCTTCAGGAGCATAAGGTAGTTTGTTTTTTTGACGTTTCATAAATCTTAGAATATGAAAAAATAGTTCTCCCTTTTCGTTTGACTGTGGTCTCTTAACGCTTTTATTACTCTGAAACAACTGATTTGACAGTTCTGAAATGTTAGATATGTTTTAATGATATTATGTTGATGGTAAAACTCTAACCATAATTTATCTGACCGTGAAGTTATCTCATTTTTCGGCCGCGTTCGAAAATTAGCTAGTCATTTATTTTCTTGTAGATCCCGATCCTCAGAAGTTATTTTCGGCTTCATTTCGTCGAAAAATCCTACTACTTTTTAAGAATCGCCAATTGAAATGTTGGAAATTTTAGTATTTTTTATTAAACTTTAACGTTTCAGCTGAACATCTCAAAAATTTTGGTGCAGGAGCATAAAAATTATATTTTTCAGATCCTAGCACTTTTGGGGATATTTAGGCCATTTTGTCTAAAGGTCAATTTTTCGGTACTTATCTGACGAAATTTTTGATAATTTTTCCAAATTTGCTAAATACCTTTTTTTGGTACCTAAAATTCAATCTCTAGAACTTATTTTAGGCTTCATTTTTTCGAAAATTTCTACCATTTTTGCAGATTCCCTGATTAAAATATGGCAGTTTTTAGAATTTAAAAATCAATTTTTCTCCAACCGAATATTTCACAAATCTTGCCCTGAAATTTATATTTTTCCAATTAGCACGTTGAAATCTACATCTTACAATTTTTTGGATTTTTGGCGACTTTCGAAAAACTCAATTTTTCAATATCCTCATATGCAATTTTTAATTATTTTTTTAATCACCCTCGAAAAGCCAACGATATTTATTGTAGATTGCATTATTTATAGATTTCAACCCCAAGAACTATTTCTTGGTAAATTACTGTGTACCATTTTTCCAGAATCGTCAATTCAAATATGGCAATTTGTATGATTTTTAAACAATTTTTTTTTTAAACCGATTATAAAATTAATTTTGCGATTTTTTTTTGTGATAACCACTATAAAGAAAAAAAAATTAATGCCTTCATAAACCATAACAATAGACTAAAAATATTTTACACATTTTAGATGGGATGTAGCGGAGAAAAATTGGCGATGGTGTCATCAATTTGGGGGAAGGGAGGAGATAAAGTTTCATTACTATTTACCATGTTTTCCATAACCTTAAAACATTTGCAAATTTTCAAAGCATACGGTTTGTAATTCAAAAGTTAAATTGTAAAATATTGTTACATATATGAGTAATTTTGATTTCTTTTCCCAAAAATCTGGATGACTAGGGTAAAAAATTAACACGGATTCATAAATCAAAAGTGCAGGGTTGTTATTATAAAATTTAAATTACATTTACTATTTTAAGTTTTGGAAATGACGTCATTCCATCATTAGTCAAATTTTATTTAGTTTGTCACATCTACACGAAATTCATAATATAAGTATCAAATTTTACAACAATCGGCCCACCAGTTTGGGAAATTATCTGTCTGATAAAAATCCGGATAACGACAGACAGATAGACAGACAGACAGACAGACAAAAATGAAAGATCTATTTTTCGTATTCCAGGGGCTATGAAACGTCAAGGAAACATGAAAGGAGCTGGTAGTTTAATTTTCCAATTTGGTTTTTATTTGTTTGTTTTAAAAGATCAGAAAAATTGGTTGTGCTCCTTTCAGCTTTGAGTCCTGCGCACTATAAGGTTGTTGATATTAATAAAAAAAAACTTCTTGATGAATTTTGAATGTGTTTTTGTCAAATTTTAGGACTTAATTTTTTTACGTAATTTATTCCGTACTTTTACTAAACATTAATAAGAATTGGTTTTCTGAGATGTGCAGAATTCTGTCAACTATGTTTTGCTTAGTTAAGTAAGTTTATTAAGTGACAAATCGTAGTGCCGTTAGCAGTGGCGGCTCGTGAAGTTTTCTTCAGAGGAGGCTCAAATTTGAAAACCAATACTTTTTATATCCTTCATTATCTGAATAATTTTTTTGTCATGCTCACGAAAAGAACACTATAGATAAACTATTGCATCGATTAGTCTTTTCAAAATTGCCCTATTTTCACCAACTTTCTCGTTATAGTTCTCAATATCCCTCTTATGAGCGGAATCTAAAGTAGTAGAAGAAAATATGTGTTCCTGTGATTTTTCATGCCTTTACACTGCACATGAGACTGACTTATTTCCGTTGCTCATTCTCGTTAAGTATAAGTAATATTAATATGCCGATAATACCAGCTGTTTTTAACGATCAGAAATAAAACGCAAATAAATGATATAAAAAACACCTTAGGCTTTACGTAGGTACTAAAGCCTAAACACCATTCACCACTGAATAGGGAGCACGCGAAACCACCTCAATGTTTTTCCAATTTACACCCGATCGCGCGAGTTAATAAGAAAGAGATAAAATAATCCGTGCGACTTGATCTGAAAAGAGATGCACTAGCCGGAGGCTAGCGGCCTGAAGCGGCACCCCGATGAACATTTTAGCCAATGCAGTGCTGAATGACTATGCGTCAAGGTTGCGGTCTCAATAGTAAGATGCATTCTCGGCGGAGGCTAGCTTCTACGGCTGAAGCCAAACGCGGAGTGGTGTGAATTATGATTTAAGGGCGCAAATATAATTTTTTTCGATATTTTAACCTGATATATGATGAAAGTAAATTAAATCCAACAAAATATTCTGAATAGTAACAAATGTCTATAAAAATACAAATTCTTTCATCGAAAAAATTAGAGGAAGCTCAGCTCCAAAAAACAGAGGAGGCTCAGCCTCCCCTGCCTCCTCTGAGGAGCCGCCACTGGCCGTTAGAAAAATATCTATACAGATGACGTTGACGTCAGTGTGGTTTTCGAAGTATAGCCATTAAAGAACACCTTTGTAACGGGCTGTTTAAGTTGGGTTTTACCCGAAAGTCTTCAATACACGCAACCTTTTCACAGAAACCGTGAAAAATTAAGTATCGATTTATGTTCTTTTTGATGCGAACAAATTTTTATTGTATTGTGTTGTATTGTTCTATATCGATTAGTTAAATAATTTGAGATAGGGAAAGACCATGGAAACAAACGAAATGTGCAGTGATTTACGTAATGTAAAAAAACCTCACACTAAAGCTTTTCCTTTCATCTTTAATTACTGTCCGATTATTAGTAATAACACACATTCTTGAATTCAAGTAATGAGAATTGCGTGAGATTTTTTCTTAAATTCGTACATTTTTTTTTTCAGGATCTCTTTAAGAAACTCGTCCCTCACCAGTGCCTAGGCGCCGTGTGGTCTCGCCGAGACAAGAGTCGATCCCACGAGGCCGCGACCGTCTTGGCGACAGTAAACCAATTCAACGCCGTCTCTTTCCGAGTCATATCGTCAATTCTAGTCGAACCTGGTCTCAGGGCCGCAGACAGGGCACAAATTATTTCTTGTTGGATAGATATAGCGCAGGAACTGCGTCTCATCAAGAACTTTTCCAGCCTCAAAGCCATAATATCCGGGTTACAAAGCAACCCGATTTACCGATTACAGCGGACTTGGCAGTGCGTCCCTAAAGAAAAAATCGAGTTATTCGACGAGCTCGCCAAGATATTCAGCGAAGATAACAATCAGTGGACCCAAAGAGAGTTGTTGATGAGGGAGGGAACTGCCAAATACGCAGATACAGTGGGCGAGAATGACAAACAACTGCAGAAAATATTCCAGAGACAGAATCACCACACGGCTAATATTTCGTTCGGGACGATTCCGTATCTGGGGACTTTCTTGACGGACTTAACCATGATTGACACTGCGATACCTGACGTCATAGGAGACGCTTTAATCAATTTCGACAAGAGACGCAAAGAATTCGAAGTTTTAGCACAAATCAAATTACTCCAGGGCGCTGCGAACGCCTACCATTTCGGTGCGGATGCTGCGTTTGACAGGTGGTTCGATTCCATCTTAGTATTAGATGATAGAGAAGCCTACCAGCTCAGTTGTCAGATTGAGCCTTCGCATTCAGGGAATAATGTGAAAGCTAAAAAGAAACACTCAACCGGCCATCAGAAGAATGATTCCATAGCGAGCACGTCAAGTAGCAACAGTTCTCAATTTTATTGTGATATTGACAGCATGCCTAGTTCGCCGCACAATAGTATCGATCGGAAGTTGAGTCCTTCGCAAATGTCCAATTCGAGTAGCAATTCGTCGTTGCCATCGTTGGATGTTTCGTTGAACAGTTCGCATTCAGGTGGCGCCAGCAATAAATTGCAAGTCCCTTACGGTGGCAATACTGGAACGCTGAGTCCGAGTCATTCACAGAAGAGTAGCCCGGATTTTTATATTATTAAAGTTACTTATGAGACGGATAGTGTGGAGACTGATGGGATAGTCTTGTATAAAAGTATTATGTTGAGTAATAACGAGAGAACGCCTCAGGTTATCAGAAATGCCATGTACAAGTTGGGATTGGAAGGAAATCCCGACAAATACACACTAGCTCAAGTTTTGCCTGATAAAGGTTGGTACAGTTTCATTTCATTCTGATTTTTCAAAATAGTGAAAATATTTGCCTTCTTTTTAAATATTGACGACTTTATAACGTGATATTTGCACTTTTAATGGTAGCAGATAACACTGTTTGGTATTAAATAGAACGATGAGATAACAGTTTTTAAAATTGATTTTTTTTTCAGAAATGGTTCTCCCTTCAAACGCAAACGTTTACTACGCGGTGAACCCATCCTACAACCTGAACTTTATTTTACGTCCCAAAAAATCGGAGGAATCAGACGTAGCCGGGAAGAAAGGAAAATGAAATCATATAGATAACATAGGTACAACTGTTTTAATTATTTGGTAAATTTTAATGTTGCGCTGTTTTGACAAATAACGGAACAAATAACATCTGTGATAAAAGCACAAATACTCTCTTTATACATCACATTTTGTGTTTTATATTTTTATTTATTTATTTTGTCTTACTGTTACGAATATGATTTTGAAGAGTTGTAATAACACATTAGTGAATGTCCGATTAGGATTCAATGTGCTGATATAATACTAGCATGGATTGTTTTATTTATTATATTTTTTAATTTGAAGCTTTATCATTTTTGTGTAATTAATGTATAAATTAATAGTGGGCTAAGTATTGTAAATGTGAACAAATGTAATTTATTGTACTTACCAGTGTAGAGCCTGTTACTCGAGTAGGACCAACTTTTTTCATTTCTAGCCTGACCAATTAACATGTATGTATGATGATAGTGAATTGTCACGTTTGTTACTCTACTGGTACTTAATATTGGTAAGATTTCCAATGTCTACAGTAGATTCTTTCTAATGTACCTATTTTTGTAATAAAGTCATTGTGAAATTTAGTTTCCGATTTATTATATAATACATATACATACAACAACTATACCGACCCCAAAGATATTAACATTTGTATCGTATTTACCACTTTTTTGGTTTTTGGCGATTTTAAGGAAGTTTTACCCATTTTCGGGTCACATCTTTGATGTTTGGTTCACAATCTGTGGTACAATGACGCGTCTAATCGTTAATTATCGTACTCAGGGAAGTTGTTCGCATAACGGAAATCCTTTTTATCAACGTTAGTGGATGACCTACAATACACACAGCTATGGAAGTCCTCGACAATCAACGTCATCAGAAGATCAACAACATCTTGTTTAATATTTAACTGTTGTAAAATGTCAACAACGTAGGTTGTGAGTAGGTAATGAATGCTAGTAACTGTTGCTTTTAAAACAGTCACAACTACATTTTCTTTATATTAACGTTTAAAACTACATCAGCATTTTTTAAACTATTTGTATGAGGTAGAAGCAGACAAAAAAGTTAATGTGAATATTGCTTGATATAATCGATCATTCATTTTCTTAAAAAATATGTGAACTTAGTAGACAGTTAGTAACTACAGTGTTAGATTTGGAAGTTTTATTTTCATTCTTGATAGTTTTTATTTTGCCACATGTGCCGAATTTTGGCATCAAAACTGATGCCTTCTGGTTACTTTATGAAAATATCGACTTGAGCATATGTATGCACATTTGTGTATGTATGTTTTAATTTGTCAGTTAAAAAAAATAAAACTACCTCTTTTCCTAAAATATTCGCAATATCCGAAGTTAGGTCACACTGTCATAGTCAGCTATTTTTACAGGTCACCGTAAATGTTTTGTTTAATAAAATTTATTTCTGATTCCTGTTTGGCGAAAGTCTAAGAACATCTGGACATCTATTTGGATTTTTCTGGTATTTTTATAAACAAATGTACCTGAAAATTTGTTTGTTGTACTTTAAGTGACCAGTTTGATTTATAACGATGGTTTGTCATAAAAGTTTAACTAGGTATATGTCCACTGAGCATACAGTATTTCATAATTCATACCTGATATTGGCAAGTAAAGATGGGGAGAACAATTTGAAAAAATATTTCTAATTCATTTATAACTAGACACTGAAGAAGGCCGATGGTAGTAAATTTTGTGAAAAATTTCAACTGACGGAAATGTTTTCTGTAAAGCATGTGGGAAAACGACAAGTTTTAAATTAATATTTAAAAGCTTTTTCATTTTCTTTTTTAGATAACATGTGAGCACAAGTTCTAAATATTACAATATGTTTCAACATGGCTTCATTAAAGGAAGTGTGAAAATCCCCACAAATCAAATTTCCTTGAAACAATTAAATTATAAATTTCAGTAGTGGGCAGAATTCTGTTACCACGTGAGGTGTTGCGAACGACTTTTTTTCTACTTGCTTCAAAAACTCATCTCTTTCCGGAGCTTCAAAGAAAAATGAACAAGTATTTAATTCACATTTATCTAAAGCAGTGCTTAGTGCCAATATTCCCTTTAAAAAGTTGCAAGAAACTTGTTTCAAAGCGTTTTCAGAAAAACATTGTAAAAATGTTATACCAGACGAAAGTACGCTGGGAAAAAATTATGTACCAGATATTTCCAAAGAAACTATTGTTAACAATTTTTTTCGGCGACGATTACAACAGTAGAAACAGAGTGCATGCCCTTAATTGAATCAGTGCAGTTAATTAAAAAATTTCAAACCAATAACTTGAATATTTCAAGAAAAATAAGCGATTCTGCACATAAAAAAATAAATGAGGTGATTAATAAAAATAGTGGCAAATCACTAGATATTAAAACTTAAAATTAGGTTCGGATATTATTAGTGCGTTAAAGTACACACCAATTCACTATCCTGCTGATATAGAAAGAAGTTTTCTTCATACAAAATGCTATTGATAGATAAAAGGCTGAATTTTACAGCGGAAAATTTGGACAAACATCTGATCGTTAATTATAAATCATACGTTATAGGTAATAAATGTAATTATAGACATTTCTCGTGTTTTTTGTTTAAAATTTGTTCATTCTTTCCGGGTCGCCCGAAAAAAATTGAATATGTACATAAAACTTTGCATATTTAGCAAAAATTGTGCATATTTCGAAGAAATTTTGTGAATGTAAATGCGCATATTTTGACAAATATTTGTGCATATAAATCCGCTCTTTAACTAAAAACATCTAAGTTAGATGTTTGGCAAACAATATAAAAATTATACATATAACACATTTCCAACTGATCTTTAAAACTGCTGAGCTGAATGTTCTGAAATCTTGTAAACGTTTTAAGTGTAAATCCTGTCTAAAGTGTGCAAAATATTATGTGTGGTTTCTCAATGCATTAATATTTTTTAGAATTGCTTATACCGGTTGACTCAAAAAAAAGAATGACGCAGTTTATTTTATTCCTCAAATCAAAAACGGCTTAGCTCATTTTACCGAAAATTTGAGAATACATGTGTCTTTGATAAAAAGCTCACTTAAACATACATATACAGAGTGATTATTTTATCTATTCAATCCTGAATCCTTTATATAACAGAGTTTTGTTTTGGTAAGTGTTAGCAGACCGCAGTGTCTAGAAAAGATGGAACATTTTAATGTTTTTATGAAGTGTCCTAAAGCCTCTGTTAAAATATTTTTTAAGGAATTTAATCCGTTTAAAAAAAAATGGTCTTTAAATATTCAGTGTGTTTAGTTAGCAGCGGCGATTTTAACAACTTGAGTTCGAGAAAGCTAACATGAGACAAAATTAAGGGAGTTTGTGTAGAGTGTCCAAAAAATATAGAATGGGATTTACGTTTCATCTTTAATCGCCACGAGTATGTGCTATGAGTTGGCAGAAAGTTTTTATTAGAGGAGAAAGTTATCTTAATTTCAGTAATGGAAATGCGATGATTGATGATATTATATGGAATACCTACACTACATGCGAGTCTTGTATACTTTGATATTCTTGAACACAGATTACTCCAGTTTTACATAATTTATTTTTACACAGTTTTTAATGTATTTGAAGTCATTAATTATAATACCAGTTTAAATAAGGAATTTCATTCAAATATTTTTCATTATACTTAATTGTAATTTCAAAATGATTTGCTTCTCAAATTAAAGGCTTTCTTTCGTTTTTTTTTTCTACGTGCCCTGAATCGTCACTGCTTTAACTGAAATAAACTTTCAACTTTTCTAGGACGATCTATTCTCTAAGCATATGAAAAAAAAAACAGTTTCTGTTGTCATTGCTGACATCGCTGATGTCGAAACATAAGATTCAGCGTAGATTTTTGTTGACATGGTAAATACGAAACGATGGTAAGTAATTGTAATACCTACACTTCATGCAAAAAGACTTCCATAAACTTAAGGCATATTTTTTGTTTCATTTTTACCTTTATTCCAATTGGCTGAATCCACGCGCACTAGTTATATTGTAGCGTGTGATGAACAAAAATCATCCTCTAGTTAGATGGCACTGAATGATCGATCACCTGTCTTTCTCATCTCTTTTGTTCTGCGTACCGGATGCGAAAGATAGCTTGATCGTCCAACGTCAACAAGAGGGCGATTTTTGTTGATTGCACCTTATAAATACTTCATTTTTCATTTTCTACTGGGGTTGTTTCCTTCGACAGCACTCTAAACGTTTCACTCTTGTAGATACATTTTGCACAAACTATAGTAAATGTTAAAGTTAAAACGTTTTTCGTTTAATCACGAGACTAATAAGACTCAACATGTTTGGATTGATATAATGTCAATTTCAAATCGTGATCCCAATTATGTACACAGCGTACGTCAACAAAAGTAACAAAAATAACAAGCTTTTACAACAGATTTATCACTACGAAGTGACAAGTATCATTTTGTACACATATATTGTGTCCTATATAGAGTGTTACCGAAATGAATGCGAAAACTTTAATTGGTAATAGAACTCGTCCATACGATATTTTAAACCTTTTTCTACAACATGTTTTTCAAAATGCATTAACCCTTTCTCTCTCTGAACTCTGACATTTGTATGCAGCTATACATTGAGTCCAGTTGTCGAGTTATTGCTTTGTGCGTGTGCAACATGCTGATATTAATTACAAAAAAAAAGCCGAATTCCCCGACATGTGGTCCTTGTGTATGGCGAAGCACTTGTCAAAGGGATATTTCCATTTGGTTAAGCGCTAATGTTGAGGAAAAACGGATTGAGAGAAATGGACCCGTGTTGTGGCCCCCTCGTTCTCCTGACATATATCCATGTGATTTTTTCTTGTAGCGACATATGAAACAACTAGTGTGTGCGAAGTGCGAAAACCCATGTACAATGCTTTGCCCACCCATCAAAAATCACGACGAGTCGCCACTGGATTCCCTGGAAGGGAACAGCGAAATTAGCGAGAGTGAAAAAGTTACTGATAGTGATAATGTTACTGATACGCAAAAACCAAATAAACTGGTTATAAATTAACAAAAAATTTCAATAAAGTAAAGGTTTTGTCTACTTGCAGACTAATCGAGGAAGTAAACAGCTTTAAAAGTCAATTAGTTAAATTAATATTTATTGGTAAACTGGTTGGCGCGTATGTAAAAGTTAAATTTCCAGTGAGTTATTTTCTATTATACAAATTATAAGTTGAAAATATGTATTACTTCACGGATAATTTTCTTTAATAAAAATTTCTAGTTTAATGCACTCTGCTATAGCTGGGTGGATGTTTAAGTATTGTAGTCTGTAGTCTAGGACGGAGTAATCCGGTAGCTGGCCCAAATGAACACTGACTTTCTGTTTAATTACCTAGAAGGCACCAATAAATTGCTTAGGATTATGGTAATGATAATTTACAGCGTCGGTTGCTTGCCTGGAAGGAACAATGGTTCTACGAATCAGATGTACGTCAATACATTTTGGGTTATAATAGTCAACGACGTCCGATTCGCAAAACTCTTAACCTTATTAAGGAGTCAATATTGTTCACTATTTTGGAGAGCAAGAAGAATTTTGTGGTATTATTACACAAATGTCTTTTTCAGGTGTTTTTTTTTTTAGTTTATTAAACTGAAAGATTTTCTGAAGTTGAATTAACATCCCAAATGTCAAAATATATATACAGGGTTAGTCACGAGAGAATTACTTCTGAAAATTATTTTTACGCAAACCAAAATACTAATACCCTGTACCACTTGATATTATCTAAATTTAAAATGAAATGCCTAATCCATGATTGCTTTGACTTTGACAGTGTCACTTTGACGTTAATTAATTTTTAGCATTTTTTTTTTCATCGTTGACTCGCCTCTAGAGCCCCATTGGATCGATGACATACAGTCAGATCAATCTGGGCTACACTGAAGCCGTAAGTGCTCTACCAATGTTGTTCGCCGCTAATGTGCATGTGTTAATTCGCCATCTCTGCGTCACCTAGAGCCTCTTCGAAGTGCAAATCCGCAACCTCTGGACTTCTTCGGCCATCCATTTACAAAAAAGCCGTAGCATCCCCCCAAAATGCCCAACATTTTCAACAGATTAGTAGTTAAATTATTTACTTACTTGTTTGAATTTGTGTTGTAACCTTTGAATAAAATGCCGTAAAAGGTGTTTTTAGAAATAATTTTCTCTTGATTAATCGGTTGCAAAAGATCAAGAGGCACACTGACAAATTTATTAGCGGCGCCGGAGGAGATTTCCGACTGGCTGCGGTACCAACATGGACACTCGCGTAACCTCCTTTTCCACAATTGTCAAAATGAGATTGCCAAACTCAAAGCAATCATGGATTAAGCATTTCATTTTAAATTCAGTTAGTATCAAATGGTATATGGCATTCGTATTTTGGGTTGCGTAAAAATAATTTTCAGAAGTAATTCTCTCGTGACTAACCCTGTATGTAGAAAATACAATTGTAAAAGTAAAATCGCCCTTTATTGGATATAATGTTTGAACGAAACTTTCTATCCTCAGTACAGTAGATTTTTATTTGCTGTGTAACTGAAGATAACTTCCAAAACTGCTGTAGTCTATTTAGCTTTATTAGTTACCATTTTTAAAATAATTAATGGGAGTCTGAAATTTCTGGTTTCAGAATTATTTGTCGACAATCGTGCGCATAGGTTCTCAGTAGGAGAAATCGAAAAAAACTGAATTTCGTTTATTGCAGCGTCATCTGTCATTAATTTAAAAAAATCTTTAGACAAACCCTACGTACTTTTAGCCGCAGAATCCGAATCTGTAATAAAAATTCGGAGTTCCTATTTAAGATTTCAACGTTACCTCCCACCCCACCTACAAGGAGGAGAGAGGGGAACTAGTTTTTGCACCAAAGTATTTCCCCCATGGAATGATTAAATTTTGAATATCGACTTTTTTTGTGGAGTGCTTATTTTTTGAGATATTTGAAAGTTTCAGGTTAAAAAAATCACTCTGTATTTAATCCTCGACAGAGGATTAGAATGTAGAATATACGCCTGTGAATGGTTAAAACATGTACGTTGCATAGCAACGGACTTCAATTAAAAATTAATTGCAATTAACTTCTAATTCGCCTTCTATAACTGGGTCTTAATTCTCCGAATTTTATTTTTTATGAGAAAACATATAAGTTAAAAAAATAAGCAGTATTTGCGTTTTTGTGTCCGTTTAAGTAGCGAAAATTTGGATATCTAGGGGAAAAACTCAAAGCGTATTCGCACACTACAAGTGTAGGGGTATATTTATTCTAGAACATTTGAATCGTTATAACAAAATATTTGAAATGCTTGCATTTCAGCATCAATGTCTGTCTATACTCTGTTAACCATTTACCATTCAAGCTGGCAACAGAATAAACATTATCATGAACTAACAAATTAATCACTGTAACTTTATTTCCAAATAGGTATTCAAATACATTTTAAGCATTATAGAAAAAATGAAAATAAGCATTTTTATGGACTTCCACAAAAGATTTAATAAAGAAACTCACTCAGATAATGTGGTGAAATACACAATTTTAAGAAAATATATTTATTGAAAATATTCTTCCAATAATCAAATTACAGTTATTTATCAGGTGATCAAAATCATCAAAATCGCTATATCGTTTTGATCACCGTTGTCACTTGGTTTAAGAGCTTCAAGCTTATTTTAATTTTTTTTTAATTTCTCATTTACCTAAAAAGGTCCTTATTTTCCTTTCCGGTAAAGACAGCAACAACTTCTTCATTTTGCTATCCAGTTTATGTTGTTCTTGATCAATTGGCTTGTTCGTTATCACTTCTTCCAGCCCACAGCTTTTTCCCACATTTCGTACACATAACATGATACTCCTGTTTGACATTTTCCTGGTCCCTGGTCGCAACGAACACATCTCCTAGGTTGTTTTCTTTTCCACTCAATAATCCCTTTGCATTTCACACAACAATCACGGACTTGAATGTTTTTGATAAGCTTGGTTCGTTGGTTTGTATTATGAAGACTATTTTTGAAAGATGTTCTGTTTTGGTGCTTTTGACGACAACGCCTTTGTTTGTTACCCCTTTGTATGCTTATATCTACAAAAAAAAAAATACATAAAAATTACAAACTGTGATGTTTTGGCATTACCGCATTCATTATTTAATAAAACTTTGGTTTTTTAGAGGTCCCTACGGCAAATAAGTCCGAAAATTTATAACAATAACTTTTCTTATTTAGTACTCCTGTGATTTATGTGAAGATGGGAATGATGAAGTAGATTAGTAATTAACAATTGCTATTTAGTCTTTTCAATACTTTCGCGATTTTTCTGCAATAATTTCTCTTCTAGGCTTTTTATTTCTTCCATCTGTTTAATTATTAATTTCTCAAGCTCCTTGTGTTTTTTTGACAAAAGCTGAAACTGCTTTTCCTGTTGAGTTATGTACTTTAGTGTTTCATTTTTAGCTATTCCTCCTAAAGTGTTAATTGTAACTACAAGTTTCTGAAACTGTTGGCTCATTTCTGCTGCCTGAGTTCGAAATTGCGGTAAATCGTCCCATTTTGATGATGAAGCCCCTTCCTTAGTAGCTTCGTCGATAAGAGTAATTTGCTTTTTAAGAGATTCCTTATAAGCTTGAGTAACATCTTTAATAGATGTCTGTAATATATTCATTAATTCCGTAATAGCAGATTCTCCACGCTCACAAGCTTCTTTAAGTTTTAAATCGAAATCGTCCATACTGAAGCTGCTGTGGTCTTTTGAAAAAGGATACGATGCTCCGATAAGAAACACTTTTGAATAATTTTTTACTTTCGATAGGGAACATAAATTTCGCGCCGGGGTCAGGGAACGTACTCTTCTTAAAACGTTTCTTGAGGTTATTAGTCTGCTTATCATTTTCAATAGTGGTATGGAAAGAAACCGTAAAGTTACCAAGAAAGATTTATTCAAAGTAGCGATGGTTTTACCTGAAATCCACAAACGTTGATTTTTACTATCAAGGTGATTATTACAAGAATTTACTATGAGAGTAAAGCTAGATGACTTCAATTAAAAAAAAATGACACTGACATAATTTTGACATTACGTGACTTTTGGCTACAATTACGCTTAGAAAATAGTATATTGTATGTATCGAGTGGTAAGAAGCTAACATCGAACGAGGAAGTTTATATAAATTAGTTACGTTTTGCGAGATAAACAAAACTGCAAGCGGTAAATTGCACTGTCAACTGATCGAGAGACAATAATGCTACACCGATAAAATTGCAATATTTTCTACATAGTTTATAAAGTTGCAATTAATGTTATTCGTAATAAATTAATCTAAATAAAAACAAAAGGAAACTTACGTAGTCATGTTCGTAGAGCTTCAACGCAACGTCTAGGAGTAATAAACTCACGCCTCTCTTGGTTTTGGAGCAGATTTCGTCGAGGTTGGTTTCGAAACGGAGATTGTAGTCGGGTGTTCGGTTCAACCGGAATTTTCCCAGAGAAAGGTTTTTTGTCGATTTATGGTAGTACGATTATGCTAGGGAACCGTTCGGGGTCGAGGCCGAAGTTATGCGGAAAAATTTTCCACTTCCTACAATAAAAGTATAGTATCAGTATTATGATATAAATTTGTGGAAGTAAGTTAGAAACAACTTACAGCCCTGAGGAAGATGGTAGTTGAGGAGAAAAGACGACAAATTCGGAGATTGTTCTAGCAGTGTGTAGAAACGTCATATTTCTTTGATAATGTCGTTGTTTAAGGGTTCTAAGGTGTACAATTTGTTGTTTTGTAAGGAATTAACAGATTTTGTTATCAGCTTTCTAGTTTACTCGTCATCTGGGCGATAATTTGAGAACCTCGATTGAAATGGTGCGCTCTTGATATTTTTCTGGCTTTTGAAATATTTTTAAAGTATTCTAAACGATCATTCGACGAAAGTTTACTGAATAATCCTCGACTATGAAACTTTTCAGGCTCTTAGCGACCCCTAAAATAATTGCATTGAAAAATCGACCACAGTTAAAATAGTGAAATTTTCTAATACCGTCATATTTCTCAAAATAGCTTCCACGTAACGACGACAATCCTCACACGCCTCACACGAAACTATGTACTCCCAAAACTTCAATCAGTTCTTCTTTCGGTTCTCTTTTAAAGCATCTGCTTTAACCAGATATGCTAAATAAAAAATTACAACATTCAGTAAATAGAGTTAACAGTTGTTAGGATATAGATTAAAAACAGAGATTTTCAAAGCACCTTCTAAAGACGAGACTGAATGGAACTAATCCGTCACTAGATCCACAACTTCGAGGTTATTCCAATTTGACATGTAATTAATCAGAGCGTCGGAGAGTTGCGGAAATTTTCATGACTTGCACTAGTGAGCTTGAATCATCATGGTCGTGAAAAATAATTAGAACGATAATAATTTTTCACCGACTTTGAGAGTTCAGCGCTGTTGAAATGGTTCCCCAAACTTAAAACCATAACGCTAAAATGGGCTTTCTTCCATTCAAAAACCTTCTGATGGGATGAAGCATTCTTTTCGCACGTTTGTAGGAATTCGTGTACAAAAACGCCAACATTTGGGTTGTAACTTTTCGCGCACGTCAAAACTCAAATTCCAATTTTCCACCATTTTAAGTGACAAAATTTTATTCCTCTCCAACAAATCGAAAGCCAAATCTAAATGATCACAAATCATCACAATCTTGGTCCTTTGGGAACTTTCTCTGCACGTGAACACCTAAAGAATTACTCAAATTTATGTGGCTCCAAGTCTTCGCACGCTTGACGAAACGTTCCATTGCCGTCGTCATTTTCAAGAGTAACGTCAAAATGTGATACTTTGTCAAAACGGTGATCTTCTAAGATCAGCGTCTTCAGAGTTGGTAATGGTAACGTTAACGTACGTAAGCTACAATTTGAATGTGAAAGATAAACATGGTTATCAAATAAAAAACGCACCTAATGAACTCCAAAATTATCAATAGCAAATTGAATACACTCTGGTTCAAACTTATCCAAAACTTTAAGAGCAAAATTAATAGTCTTGAACCAGTTTTCAGTTCATCTGGGTTCGAGAAGTGTCCTCACGCTAGTTCAGACAGTTTTCCTCAAATTTGGACACGCTGTACAAATTTTAATCCTGCATAAGGATGCTCCCATGATGAAAATCACCCTAAATTTGTGAGAAGTACACAAGACCAAAAGGAACGCGTGCACAACCTCATTCAATTTAGATTTTTCCACTTCGTCCATCTACAAAGCAAATTTTAAATTTGTTTAAACAAAAGTTAAGTGCACTCACGACCACAATTTTATTCTTCTTTTGATCCACAAGCCCCGCAGGTCCCTTCCAGTTATACAAATTGACGATTACTTTCACTACTGGTGTACTAAACATCCTCATTTTGACGGTTTTAGAAACCGAGAAAATTTCTAAGGTGTGTGTGGTTGGCCACTGCTGTGATTACCAAAACTAATCTAGTATTTACCTATGTTTAGATTTTCTTCTAAATACTAACATTATCCCTCTTTATTTGCCCTTGTAGAGTGGAATGCAGGAATTCTAAAAATGGAAGAAATTCTCGTTTAATCATTACATTCCAGTGTGTACAATTTGTACAATTTCAAGGAAAACTTAGTTTAAATACATTGCCAGACAAAAAAACTCGGACACTTGAATTTTTTGTGATTACCTGGGTTGGTCGAAATTTTGAAAAAAATATCCCAAAAAGCAAAATATTATTATATTCATTAACAGAAAACATAATTTTATGCTAAAACATATGGAAAAATAAAAAAGAAAGTGATAAGACTGAATATTAGCATAAGGTTACCTACAAATATTTAAGTGTCCGGCTTTTTTTGTTTGGCAGTGTATTTTACCATGTTTCATGCATTAGATAAAGCCAACGTGGTTGGCGAAGCGCGTCGACAAATATTTTATGTTATAGCGCATCGAGTCATCAAAACGACCCCTCAAGTCTTTATAAAAACATTTTTATTTTCATGTGTTGTACGGAAACAAAATTTTGAAATTAATTAAAAAAGATGTAATTTTAAATTCCAAAAATATCCACAAATTTTCTTGTTTAGGACCATAGTTACAAAGAATTTATCTATTTAACGTCCACAGTAATTTGTATATTAAGAGGAAGAGGAGCCGAAAGGGGGTGGAAACGGAGTGTATCTGTACAAAAATGTATCGCACCTAGAAGTGAAGTTCCATTCGGAGGAAGCAGAAAAACACTGTAAAAAAATGACATTGTTCAACTATAATGGTAAGGGTATAATAGTTTTTAGATCGATTTTATACTTATACTATATTTTTTTCTACGTTTAAAATAGAGCCACATGATTTGTGTACGATCGAAGCACGTTCACGTGCACATGTTCCCATTAGACTCGCAAATCCCCCGACTACGGAATCCAATTTTTTGGTCGCTCTGTCGAATATCTACACCAAGGGGGTAATTAACCCTTCTTTAATTTTTATATATAAAAAAAAACACAATGAATGTTAATAAGGAGCACTTTCAGAGAAATTTGTTTTTCCAGGGGCTTGTGTGTCATTAAACTATTTTGAGGCAAAAACCAGAAAAAGAGGGGCAAAACGAAATCTATTAACAAGTTGATACTTTGAACTGCGACACAAGTCTCCACAAGCATGAAAATGGCAGACCATAGGAAACTGCAAATGAGACGAAGAAAAAAGAACAATCCGAAACATAGAGGAAGAAGATCGTGATCCAAAGAAAAATGCAAATGAAGGTTCTTTCCTTCAGGAACCTTTAGAACATGTGGAGCAGAACATTCTTTAGGTTCACGAAGAATCAAACGAGAAAAACACCAGGTATTTTTTATTCTATAAAAATAGATTTTGATTAATTGTGCCTGACATTGTTTTTACATGATTGTACAATTTTTTTCAGTTGTGAACCATGGAAGTTGTATTTTTTGATCACTAAAGTTGTCTGGGGAAAAGCAACCGCGTACATCTTCATTATCAGACCGCTCGATTGTTAACTATTCAAGCGTCGTGACCATCGTAACATATGTGATTGCAATCTTAATAAGTACATGTAAGTAATGTATATACCTTATATGCAAATAAAATAACTCTTAACTAATTTATGTATATATTTTTCAAAAATTGTATATATTTAATGAATTCTTAAAAATCGTACCTTGTACTGAATTTTTTTTGCCCGAGCGTAAGAGATGGAAGTATTGTAATCAAGTCCATCGGGGCACTTGCTAATTTTATGTTTTCTCGACGTTTCGTGCACCCTAGTTATAATTTGTTCGTCTGTGCTTTATGCGCGATGGAATTTCTGTCGAAATAACTTTAGAACAATTTTTTGAGACTAAGTATTGTAACTCAGTGCATACTTTATAAGTCACGATATTGTAATAATAAATACCGTAAGACCACAAATTAGGTATTTAGTTACGACTCTTTAATATAATTTTGTTTCTTTTCAAACCTGACGGAAACGTATATTTGACACTTAACGAGTTACTTTTATGCCTAGGAGATTATCAACAACGGTTGACCTCGTTGATAATAATCTGGTTACCGGTGGCTTTCACGTTTTTATGTACGTTGTAGCCTTTCCATTGTTAGATTGCGGCATAGTCGCACATTTTCAATAAAATTTTCTAAACTGAACTTATGTTACAATTTTAAGCAAAAATACGACAACATTTGTAGTAACTGTATGAACTAGATAGACCAACTAATGGTTTGCTTTTAATGAATCTAAAGTAGTGAATTATCTTTTAATCTTACAGGTTTTTCTATTTTTCAAGTTAAAAAAGAAGTACAATGTTCTACTCGAAACAAAAGGGTCTTTGTATGCCTCGCCTGGATTTTCTTCCTACACTCCCGGCTTGCCACACAAAGTATGGCTTTTGCTACTACTGAGACAATATACGATTATTTTGAGTTTCTCCATCTCAACATGTGCTTTAAGGGGGCTGGCTGCTTTCAGCTTTAATTCAAAATGTGTACGATTCCACTGAGATTTAAACGTGGAAGTTATAAGATTAAAAACTGGTGTCGTGACCATTCTTACCACTTTATCAAAGATCTTTCTAAATCAAGAATTTTAATATGTCCTCAGATTTAATATCCCTTAGGAATAAAAGTTGATTTTGTTGCCAGTTATAATAATAAATTTAAATTTTAGAATGAAAGAAAAAAATACGGGGATTTCTTCTAAGGGTTAATTTTTAATAGAATTTCAAGTTAGTTTTTACGATTATTTCCGCTAGGTTACTTCGAATATGACGTCGTAAAGGCGAAACTTTAAAATTATTCTTATATTTTATGAGTTTCTTAAACTTCACTAGTACTTGAGTTTATGAGGCTCCAGATGTAGATGAGTAGATTAGATCGCGTCAGGAAAGTGATTTATAAATTCTCGCTTTAATTATTTAGTTTCCTTAATTACTCTTGTAAACACGATAGTAGGTTGTTAAATAATAAGTATTAATTATACCGTCATCAGATGTGTATTTTTTAAAGTATTGTAAAAGCGACATAAAGGAATAAAGATTCGTCTGTTATGTCGAGCGAAACATGAATGGCAATATTGTCAGGCTTACAGTTAAACGAAAAATAAAAAATGAACAGTTTTAATTCCCATTAAATCACTTCTAAGTTAGATTGGTTTTTGCTTGCATTAAACTTGGCACTTTTACGCACAATAACACAACGATTTAATTTATTTTTTTGGGAGACTGTCATGGCTCTAACCGTATTAACAATATATACAGCCTTTCAAAATCAAGTGAAATTATTGTTGACATCCGCATGGTGCAAGAGATTCGATTAAAAATTTCGTACTCCGAGAATCTGGAAGGTGCTCTGTTCGGTGATGCACAAGTTTAAACTCTGAAACTTGAAAGTACACATATTTTTAAATAATGTCTTCTGAAATTAGGAGATGAATTAGTATAAATTATGTTACATTTAAAGCACCGTTTATTTTAAATGAGACAAGATTATCTAAGTCAATGACGTCACAAAGTGCCTGCACACTCAATACAATTAAATATTGAGACTACATAAAAAGGAAAAATAATCGATTGTCTTTCCAGTGTTTGTGTCACCTCAGGTTCAACCTCTATATTGATTGTGACGTAACACTGTAAAGACGCAGGTCCAATATGGCGCTAACGAATATCGCAATTTATCCTTTTAGTTCTCGCAGGACCGTCAAGGAAAAAAGCATGCGCGCCGCGAAAATTTTCACTCCTCTAACGACGAACGATTTCCAAATTATCTTGAAAGAAAAGTGATTCGTTCGGTAAAGGACTATCAATTAACGAAATCGTATCATCCGAAAATTTCCATCAAGCAGCAGCCCAAAGAAAAATCGCCGATCGAATAACAACATTTCGATACAGAACGAGCAAAATGTGGGTTTGGCCCCTAAATTAAACAAGCAGGAACTTAGGGAATTTCGAGTTTTTGTCCCTGACCCCACGCATTTAATTTTCATAACCCGTGAAAGTGGAAACTGTTAACATATGTAGTTCCGATAAACCAAATTATAGTGATGGGAAAATGGTGATGTGATATAATAGTATTTTTCTCTTGACAATACTTGCGGAATCATGGTCCCTCGTGGAAAAATCGTCTCCTGCTGCAGGATTCGACCAGCATTAAGCTAACATGAGGATCTGTATACAAATTGTAAGTGGTGTTCAAGCGTTGTTGAAATAGGTGTTTGACTTTGCCTCAGATGAAAAACGGGTTTTCCTGAATTAACATCGGTTCATTGATATTAACGGAATTGCATACGCGGTTTAGCGTAAGCTACATTCTTAAATTAGTTTGCATTGTTGTGTATATACTTAACTGGAATAATTTACTTTCTGTTCTGGTATGCTTTTTTTTAATGTTTGTCTTAATACCATAGAAGGTAAATCTTCTAGTTCCTTAGGAGGCGTTCCTCCATTGAATGGACAAGAATACGAGTAGTTAAATTGCGTTCAATTTCTTTAACCTTTATATTTCTGATCTTGGTAAGCAATTTTAGTGTCATTTACCGTTTTTTTGTTTTTTTCTTTTTTCATAGAAAAAATAAATGGTTATGTAATATTGCAGTTGTTGTGATTTGAGACACGTTTGGAGTATTTATTTCATGATATATAATTGTATTTATGATTATGTAAGTAGAATTTTTGTCATTACTTTTTCAAATGTTAAACACAGTTTGGCAGTGAAGGGGAGGGGTACATATTTACATACGCGTCTGAGAGATTTAATCTTTACATAGCTGAATATTTCAATATTGAAACATGATCTTGGGTGTTTACTAACAGCCTACCTTCTGTACTGAGGTAAATTGATTTACCTGTATTTACTATGTTTAAACTAATTTCATTTGATCAAAGACTATTGGAATAAATGATTCTAAAGGTATTAGGCTTAAATCATGCTTTTAGTTTCCTGCTAAGCAATGTTTTTATTAGTTTTAAAAATTTATATACAACTTCATTAATACAATCTTGATACTAAAAAAATAAGGTTATAATACTTTGCAAGAAATATAGTAGTATTGTAATGCAAAACAATCCAATAATCAGGGAGATGACGATGGTTTCAAATTGGAATCGCCTTTGTAGATTTTCTTTTGACTTGTCACGATTTACTGACGCAATAAAGCGTTACGCTGAAAGTTTAACAGAAACTAATAAGCGACTATTTATTCCATTTTAATGTAAGACAAGTGTGTCTGTGACTAACTGATGGGTTTGTATTCTTTGCGCCTGAAAAACTATAACTTCGAAATACATTTGAAGTCTTCAAAAACTTAATAGTCGTTAAAAATCTGTAAGATCACTACTCATAGTTCCAACAGCTGCAACAATTTTTTTTCACATCAATGAAAAAGGTTTATTTACCTACGTATTTGCCGTAATTTTATAGGAGAAGAAAGTAGACGCTTTTCCCACCCCATTAGAAAAAATAAACATTAGTCAAGAACATAATGAACTGGCAAATTGGATACATTTTTCAGTTTCGCAACGTTGCTGAAATAGTAATGTTATGGTGCGCGAAGAAAGTGTCTTGTTATCTAGGCCCAGAACGATAAGGGTCACTTTCCTGAAATTTGAAAAGCCTTCAGCATGTTTAATGAATTAATTAATGTAAAAAGTTCAAGTACGGGTTACTATTCTGCCAGGAAAATACGAGTATAAGAATAATTTCAGACAAAATTTACTACTACAACGGGACCAGGAGGTTAGTTTTATATCAGATACAAGAAACATGATATGTGTATAAAATTACACCTGTTTGGTGAAAAATATGTTTTAAAAGCTTGTTAATTTTGTTGGCAAGTTGACCGTATTTCCACCACAGTACATATAATGGGTGTTGAACTGAAAAAGTCATCAAAGTGCACGTGTTTTATTAATCCATAGTGTTGTATATAATTGACATTTCCGCATTGTCAGCTGTCATCGATTTCATTTTAGGTTAATTATTGACATGTACACTAGGAATTACCCCAAGATACTGTTAGATCTCTCTTTAAGACACACAAACATAATGAGACAAAACGTTACTAGTTTTAGGCATGTCGTACTCTCCTTTGTCATTATTTTTGAGAAAAAAAGTCAGTTCTGTCATAAAAAATGAGATATTGCAATGTCTTGGGATAATTTCGAAAGTATATTTCACAATCTTACAAAAAATTAAGACTAACTTGATGACTTTTTCAGCATTGCTGATTTGTTTTTTTTTTTTTTTGTTAATATTTTATGACGGTGTTCTGCACTAGACCATCTATTATTTAGATCTGTTTTTCAAACAAATTCTATTTTCTAAACCTTGCTGTGTAGTAGTTCGCCGTATACAATTTAATAATAATAATAATTATTTTTAATTAACAGACGTATGTTCATAGAGGTTAAATACACAAAGTGGACATTAAAAAATGTATAGCTGTTGGTTATCGCAAGGTAAAACCGCCTTGCGTTGAAAATTAACGAAGTATACAATAATAGTAAGGGTAATTTTATGGATACTTGTTTAACACTCCCAATGTGACACGAATAAGAAATATTTGTGTGTCGTACCAGTTAAATAAATTATTCTAATTAAGCTGTTTAACTGGACTGCTAAATATGTATTTATTGCGATGGAGTTCAAACAAGTATCTGCGCTGAATGTTCGAATGTTCACCATTTTCACTTCCCGAGTGTAAGCTATGGAAATATTGAAAATGGACCCAACTGGCGAACGCTACTTTCATATTTTTCCAAGCTTTTCAGTATGAAAAAATAGGGCTTCCTTTTTGGTCTGTCTGCCGTTTGTCTATAAATTTTATAAACGATCATATCTGTAATTCATGAATCCATTTTAATTTTTTTCTTGAGACTTCAAAAATTTTGGAAAAAAATTCAAAATTGTATGACGATATTTTCGAATTTAACTTAGACACTGGAAAGTTGATGTTCTGAAATCTTGCAAACGTTATAAGCATTGTAAATCGTTAATCAGAATGTAGGTAGGTATGTATTTATCCCACAAAAACTTGGAGACTTCATTTTGTTATTTACCTTATCTGAAAAGTGCAAAGTATTATGAGTCTATACTAGGGCTTTATCAACTTTTTTAAAATTGTTCATATAGGGTGACTAAAAAAAGTTAATTAATAAAGTAATATTGATCAAATTAAGGTTCACTCTCTTTTCGAAAAATTTCACGACTCTACCTATCTATCCAAATTGATAAATATGTCTTTGCTAAAATGTCTAAGGCGCTATCACAGAATGTTGCTTTGAAAAACGCACGTTGTAGTTTAACAATCCACACATATTTTTTATTTGAATTTGTAGGGGTAAAAAAATTGCCCAATCAAATTTCATAATTTCTTTAAGAAACTGTACTGGTTGACTGTACTTCACAGGCAAGGGAAGTCCCGTCGAAATAAACTTACGCCAATTTTTATTATAATGTAGTTATAACATTGAAATTTCTTTAAAAATACGATGTTGTCAGTGTACTAGGTGTCGCAAACCACATTTGATAGGTAATTTCTAAAGATTTCTTTCATTTATAAAAGATAATTTCGTATTTAAATCATATTAGTTATATCGGGTGTCTAATTAAAAAACTGGTCAAGAGTGCTATGTGACCAGATTTTCTGCATGTCGTTCCCGAAATGAATTTTGAAAGCTGTCATTCACTTGTCATATCGACGGTTGTGAATGAACACCATTTAAACTGAGTCTGATATCGATATGACAACCGTGTACGACGTACGGAAAAACAATAAATAGGACGCAGTCCTCTTGACCAGATTTTTAGTTAGACTTCCGTTACCATATGATCCGAAAAAAAGTCTTCTAGTAGACAATGAAATTTAGCACTTAGCGTAATTTATCTAAATAAGCGTTTAGAAATTCACGTTTTTCTAATATTTTTGTTAGGTACAGGTCACAGTAGCCGGCAGTTTCTCAATTTTTTTACTCTCATGACACATTTTCCAAAGAAGAAAAATTTGGCGCCACACCTGCAGAGTCATAGAAAAACGAATTTCTAAATAACATGAATAGAACGAAAATTGATGTTCACAGTTTTTTCTTCTCTAATGTACGCTACTTTGATGTTTACAAGACGTTTCATGACCCCTAGAGCACAAAAAGATATGTCTCGCGTTTCTGTCTGTCTGTCGTCTTTCTGTGTTGATTTTTATTTCTAAAAAATGCTAATCAAAATTGGTCTAATTTCCCATACCAATAATTTGATGACGTCCCTTTTTTAGTAAAGGCCATTTAAATTCTACAAAATAACATATTTGTATACTAATGGTATAGAAGCCTATTTTTCACCCTAGGCATCCAGATTTTGGCAAAAATTTAAACAACTTCGCACCAGTCCAAATATAAACAAGTTAATAGAATGTGATTTAGTAAAATAATACGTTTTAATCCAAGGTAGTGGAGCCGTATGAGTGATTATTTGATTAAAGCAGCGATTCTCAACCTTTTAGTCTTCACGACCCATTTACCAATAACAGTTTTTATCGCGCCCCCCCTCAAAAATTTGCTCAAAAATTTTGGGAGCAGAAAGCATGAAACCTAATAAACTTAAACGCCATTTGGAAACGCTTCATAGTGAATGTGTTATTAAACCTCGGCAAATTTTCGAATTAAAATTGAAATCATTTGAAAAGCAAAAAAAAAATCTTTGTAAATGAAAAAGCTTTACTTGGATCGTACAAAGTTTAATGTAGCGATATGTAAAAAGCCGGCGAAGAACTTATTGTACCAGCTGCAACTGAAATTGTAGAAACTATGTTTGGAGATAATTTTACCAAACAATTAAAATTTGTACCTCTATAAAATGAGACTGTTGCCCGTCGAATTGGTGATATAGCTAACGATGTACAGCATCAGCTTTTTGAGAAATTGCATGATAAATTATTTTCAATTCAGCTTGATTAGGCAACAGATAGCATTAAAGATGCGTTTGTTCGGTTTTGTCTGGTGCTCAGCAGTAGAAGAACTGCTTTTTTGCAAACCAACAGAACTCAAAGCAACAGCACTTACTTTATTTGCTACTTTAAATGATTTTCTAAACGAAGGAAACATAGAATGGAAAAATTGCGTCGGAATATGCGGATGGTGCTCGTGCAATGTCTGGAAAATTCCAAAGTACCTATGCAAACACTTGTGAAA